TCAGCAGGAGTCGGGTGACATCTCTCCCATTTCTGAACTCCAAATACATCTAAATTGTGTAATTGTCAGGTACAGTGAAACTTGTCCTAAGCAAACCACGTAAGGAACTACTGGAGGTCATTTGCTTAGATGTTTAAGAAAAAAGTGAGCAAAATTGTACCAGGTATTTCAAGTGGTCTCTGCAAGGAGTGGGCTGCCCGTGGGCTGTGGTGTCCATAGTATAGGCTTCACTGTATTTGTAAAGCATTTGTTACAACGTGGCTCAAGGGATTTTCATCTTCACGTTACCCTCAGCCACAGGACTTGGCTAAAAGAGCAGCAAAGTGTTGGGACACTGAAAAATTTCAATGGGGTCAAACCAATTTCAGCATTTGGCATAGCAGGTTTTTATAACCATGAGGTAGCTCAAGGAATGTACCTTACTTTGCAGCTACCTTTCTTTTACTGCTCAAAACCTTTCTGCTGACCTTCGTTTTTTTGTTATTTTTAAATACAACTCTTTAACCTTTTCCTTGCTGCATCTGAGGAAAGCTACAGCAGTTATCAGTTCCTTGTTCTACGGATACTAACACGGGTTTCAGTGTTTGTTTGTTATTTTTATTGTTGTTTTATGTGATGTGAATACCCTCTCCCGTCAATATTTGTACGATGGTGCTAATATATTTGGTAACAATCCTTTATTGGGAAGGGATTTTAAAAAAAACTGTGATTTAAACTGAGTTTTTCTTCCTTTTGATTTTCATATTTAAAACAAAAAGCCGCAGCCATTTATACAGGAAAAGGCATCAGCTTTGGCCCCTGGGAAAACGTGGGGGCGGGAATCAAGAAACAAATAGGGTTTTTACATCATTTCTGTATGTATTTGATATATAGATCAATATCTGTACAAACTTTAATCTTTTATTTTCTTGGTAATTTGTGTGGTCAATGAGAGAGTATTTAAAGCTCTCTCATGCAATGTACATAACCAAGTGAACAAAAAACAAATGCTTTTGGAGAAATTAATGTTACTTTCATTTTTACGAGACTGCAGATTTTCAGCATGGATGTGAAAAGCATTAAAATTATAACTTTGTGTACAAGATGAAAATAATTCACTAAATTTGCCTTTTTTACACAAAATAAAAATGATAAAAAGTATTTTTTTGAGTAGTGACTTTTTTTAGAAGGCACTCGTTGCACTTGTGTAAAACACATTTGGCACTCCAGCTTATTTCTCTCCTGAAGAGAATGCAGATTAAAAAATATCCAATTTGTAAAGCCATCAGCAGTTTAACTGAGCACGTGAGGGTTTTACTACAACAAGGTAGCATTACATAAGCATTTAGCAGAGAACAAGCTTGGCACTTGGTCTCCTCTTTCAATTGGCGAAGGAAATCTTGTCATGGGGCAGTGTCCTGTTTTTCTTCTTGTTCAGTTCTGTGCTGGAAGGAGCTGAGGTATCCCAGCCCTTCGACTGCCCCTCCCCCAACTGGCTTTGCAACTGTTAAGCGTTGCAGTAACCTTAAAAGCAACTCCACAATGAACAAAAGATGCTCCATTTTTGTTCTGCTAAGCCTGTACTTGGAAGGTGGTTGTTAAGTGTTCCATCTCCAAGAGGAAAAGCATAGAATCATAGAATGAATCATAGAA